ATTAGACTATGAGCACCTTCTAGGTAATGGTGCCATTCTTGAAATAAATCCACGATTACAAGAAGTTCTTTGTCGTGGATTTTGTAGTTAATCTCCACTATTAAAAAATTTCTAGAATAAAAAGTTATTAGTTGAAGTTTATCATCTGTTCCTATTTTTGACAATATGACATCCAAAGCAAAGTTTGATGCATGTATTTCCATAAAAAATGGCTTAGAATAATTGATGCAATACAAGATTGGTACAAAAACAAAGGATGTCTTCAAAGCTTCAAATGCTACTTCTGCTTCTTGATTCCATTGAAGTTTGTCTTTACAAGTCAAATGTATAAGTGGAGCTCTAACTTGTGAGAAGTCTTTGATGAAGATCTGATAGTAGTTGGCAAATCCTAAAAAACATTCGACATCTCTTACCATTTTTGAAATCTTCTAATCCATAATAGTTTGAACTTTCTTAGGATCCATCATAAGTCCATCATTTGAAATGATGTATCTTAAGAAGTCAACTTGACTAGTGTGAAATATACACTTTTCTATCTTGGCATAGAGTCTCGCATCTCTTAGTTTTTGTAACATACAATGAACATGAAGTTCATCTTCTTCTGTGTTCTTAGAATATATTAAGATGTCATCTAGGTAACAAACAACAAAATCATCTAAAAAATCCCAAAAGACATCATTCATTAGATGTTGGAATGCTGCTGGTGCATTTACAAGACCAAAAGGCATGACGTTGTATTCGAAATGTCCATACCTTGTTCGAAATGTAGTCTTCCATTCATCTCCTTCTTTTGATGCGTACCAAATTGTATGCTCTCCGTAGATCTATTTTTTTTATAGATCTTAGCTTGATTCAATTGATCAAGAAGTCCAAATATCAAAGATAGCAGGTACCTATTTTTGATAGTGATTTTGTTGAGTCCTCTATAATTAATATACATCTACAATGATCCATCTTTTTTCTTTACAAATAAAATTAGAGCTCTTGCTGGAGATTTGGAATGGCATATGAAGTTCTTGACCAGATTTTCTTCAATATACTCTTTGAGTTTAGCCAACTTATTTTGTAATAAATTGTAGATTGGTCCAAATAGTAATTGTGCTCCTTCTTGAAGATCAATTGAACAATCACAGGAGTGATGTTCCGAAAGAGTATCTACATTATTCTTCTCATATACATCTTGAAAATCTTGATATTAGCTTAGAATGCGACTTGAAGTCTTTCCACCAGTAGAAACATGTGTGGCATAAATGATACAAGGTGATCCTTCTTTGGCAGCATGCAAGAAAGTTCTTGCACCTAAAAATACAAATTTAATTGTACTATACTTATGACTTTCTACTTCATTAAATATGCTCTTAGTTATACTTTCAGAAAAGTCAAGACTATGAGAAGTCTAATCTATTTTAGGATTATATTTTTTTAGCCATAATAAATCTAAAATGATTGGATTAGAGGGAGATTTAATGATATTAAATATTACAAAGCTATTATGACCATAAGTTACTACTTCTATAGGAAAGGTTTCATGAGTAACATCTCTTGAAGACAATAGATGACCATCTATGACTTCTACATGAACAGGTTTAGTTTTCTTCACTAAAATTATGCTATGTCTTTTAGCAAATTCTTTATCTAAGAAACATGTTGAGGCTCCTGAATCTAACAAGGTAGAGGCTTTGTGCTGTTTAGGTCCTAAAATAACATTTATTGTAAAAGAAAGAGAAGGTTTTGATGAAAGAATAGGACCTTCACTAGGTATTGTACAAGATTCCAACTGCACAATCACTATTATACCTGGACAAACTCATTTTTTGACATACTATTTTCTTTGATAGCCATACTCTTCATTTTATAGTTGCGTTGCTTCTTTGGATAATGTTGAGTTATATGCTTAAGTTCTCCACAATATAAGCACAATCCTTCCTAACGACTATGAGTCTTTTTTTGCTTAGTAAGAGATTTGAAACATATCATATCAATTTACATATCCTCTATTTCTAAATATATGTGTTGAAGAGGTATTGGTGTTGCTATTGAATTATAGTAATGTTGAGGTATACTTGTACAGTTCTCAGATCAAAATTCAAAAAGACGATTGTTGCACTTCAAAGCAAAGTCAATTACTTGACTCAATATTTGAGGATCAAATAAGTTGAGCATTAATTTTTTTACCTCATATTGGAATTCGTAGAGAAATTGGCTAACAAGTGTAACATCATCGTACTTGATATTAATTACAAGTTGTCAAAACTATGAAGCATATAACGTTACTGATTAATTACCTTATTGCAAAATATGGAATTTATTGGTTGTAACACGAGTTGCATCATGTTTTCCATACATGAATCAAAAATCCACCAAAAAAACCTCCAGATTATCCAATATTGGATCTTGTTGTTCAAGAAAAGATAAAAACCATAATAATGTTGAACCTGAAAGAAGTGTACTAATAAATCTAACTTACGATCTTGGAGTTAGATAGCTTTAGAGTTGAAGTTCAATCACAGGTTGTACTTGATTGATAAATCCTCTAAACTTTGATCTGGTGCCATCAAACTTCTCGAGTAAGGCAATTCTTGGTTCTCTGACACTAGAACGGTATTCCACTATAGGAGAAGGGACATGATTTGGTGCAAATGTTGAAGCAGTTCCAATCATTTCTATATCTTCACTTCCTGTCAATCTTCTTGCTCCTTGTGGTGGTAAATTGAGTTGATGCATCGCAAGCATTAACTAGTTCAATTGTTCTTGTATTTAAGCCATTGCACTCTTAATTTGAGCAAGTTCTGCCATGTTAACACTTAAAAAAGAGAAGATATTTAACATTACTCAAGACAAATAGAAGAGAGGACTTGAAAATAAAGAAAATACTAAGAACAATATCAGTTAAGAAGAAGGTGATCTGCAACTTCTAATACACTTATGTCTTATCAAGAGAAAGAGGTAATCTACTCTTAATCAAGATCAGACAAAGCTCTAATATTATAAGTGCACTCTTGTCAATCTATCAAGGATAAGAACTTGATAAAAACAAATAAAAAAGTGAGACTTTTCTCATAGGAAGATGAAAAAATAGAAATAACTAAATATGTATATTAAAAAAGAAATTGGAATGGCTATTGCCAAAAGACAAGAAAATTAGAGACCCTTGAAACTAGATTAGAAGCAAGAAAGGAGGTGACAAGAGTGAAGAAGGCTTCACTCTTGCCTCTATACATACTATCTATTTAGGAATTACATAGTGACGTTCTACCGGACCTCCAAAAATATGTTGATTTTACACAACACGTATCTTAACTTGCAAGGCAAGTTTTCTATGTGGATGCTACATAGTTAGCTTATTCCACAAGCTACCAACATATGTGGCATGTGATTAACTTGTTGACGAAGTTTCTAACCTACCAATCAAGTATAAAGACATGTAAAGTCAAAACAGCTTCTAGGAAACTTCTTTAGAAGATATTATGAAATTAATCTACTTTTATCCACTTCTACTTATTCATATCAACTAGGTAACAATTACAGCAAATATATGTCCATGACAACTAATCATGTTTTTTTATTAATTTATTCAGATTGTGTAATATCATGAGTTCTATAAATAAAAGTTGAGAGAAGACCATAGAAGGAGATTATTTATGCTTAATACAAAATAGCACATCCAAATCAATTTATTATTTTTTAATTTTACAAGTACTAGTTGAAAGTAGGTGTTTTACACCAAAAAAAATACAACATGTGTAACAACACGATACAAAAAATAATTTTTTGCCAATAACTATTTTAAAATAGTTAGTATTGGTTTTGATGAGATATTTACATTATTTTTCTAAATTCACTACTTTTAGAACTATTATTATAATTAGAGGCAAGAATGGACTTAGAATATATTAGATAGATATGAAAATTTCTTTTTTGAATTAAATATTTGTAAGAAGTCATCTACATGGGTCAAAAATATAGAATTATGTATAAAGACAAGAAGAACTTTGTTTGCAAGTTGAAAAAAATCCATATATGGTTGAAAAAATAATAAGGACATGGTACTAATAAATTAATACATTTGTAATTAATATAGGTTTTTTTAGGAATAAGATTAATTATTCCTTGTATGTAATACAAACAAGCATATTAATGATTAAAGCATCCTAGCATAAAATATAAATAAAAATAAAATTAGACAAAGACCAAACTCTAAAAAGTTTATAAGACAAGTCATCTTAGAAAGTTGCACAATTGTTTTAAAATTGAATTTGTACGAAATTATATATAATACACTATTACAATAAGAAACATAAAACCATTGTGACTTTGATTAAAGCAATTTTAAAATTGATGAATTTATTAAAAGATGATTTTGCTAGTATAAAATTAATAATGAAATATACTCCATATAACGTATTATTAGGATCTCTCATGTATACAATAATAAATGGAGTATTTTATATTGCATTGTTGGTTTTCATTGGTTTCAGATCCATAGTGGAGAAGTGAATGTAGAAGTCATTTTTTTTCTTTTTCATGACGGTTAGGATGTGTGGGTCAATTTTGTAAAAGCCTGGGTTTATTTAACATTCCCCTACAACAGTAGAATCAAACTTTTGCTAGTACAAATCCACATGGACACAGATAGGTATGTATACTTCTATTTACGAATACGAATTCGCATATACGATTAAAAAAGGGGGATGGTGACAAGGATGCCGACAAGGGGGAGTGACGAGGAGGGATCATGAAACAGTGGCACATTCGACTCACCTCCCCACCCCCTCGCGGCCCCGTCGGGGAGGGGGCCGATTCCCCGACGCGAGCGGTGCGGCGATGCCACCTCCCCCTGTTACGCTCTCGCTGCTGCAGGTTCGTTTCCTGACGCGTGACCAAGGCGGGCGCCGGGGTCGGATCCCACCGCAGGCGAGAGATCGATTCCCGTCGCGCTCACCGCCTCCCGGCGCGCCGTAGGCGCCCGCGTGACCCCTCACGGATCCATCCCCATTTTGTCCCTCTCGTCTCACACTTGCCGTCTATTTCTACCCCAACCTCTCTGTGACGTCGTTGGTCTAGTGTCAACGCTGCCTTTCTGGTTTTGTTCTAGCCTGGATGTTTGTCTGAGTGTGCATCGGTTCCGGGGTATATCCGCAGTTTCTTAGCATATTTCTGTAATTTGGTTACGGTGCTCGGCACTGACGTAGTTGTGTTTCTTTTTGCTACTTTGCCTCGCTCTGTTGTTGCGTGTTGGAGGTGGGTTTTGATCTGGTTGGAGAGGCCCTTGGGAGGAGGTGCATTGGTGGTTGGGCGACGTGGGTTGGTTGCTTCCCCCGGTGCATCGCGTGGTCCACACGTTTCTGTGTTTTGGTTTGTGGCTTTTGGAGGGAGGTGCAGAAGTGGGTCATTGTGAACGGTTGTTGATTTTGGCCCGTGTTCTGGTTTGCAAGTTCTTAGATGTGACCTTGGGAGGAGCTTCACCGCTGGTTGGTGTGGCTGCTCAATCTCGAAAAGTTGGCTTGAGGTGTGATTCGATTCCCTCGGTTGAGAATGCGGCCTTTGTAAAAAGAAGAATCTTCTTTCTATTTTTCTCGCTCTGGATATTTCATGTTGTTCTCCATTTCTGGTACGGAGCGACGGTCTTGACTTTTGCGTAGAGTTTGGAAAGTGGTGTATGCCTAGCGGCATTTCGGAGCAATGTGCCGAGGATGCTGGCCAATTTCCTCACTGTATCCCGACACTCGCTTGGATAGGTCTTTATTACTGTCGTTAGCGTGCGTCATGAAGTGAGCGAACGTTCCTCCGGGTATTGCTCCGTGGTCCTGTGAGTCTTTGACGATGACTTGATTACCGTGTTGGCGATTTTGCGTTTTCTTCACCGCGTTATCGTGATGGGTGCGGTTCTACTCATGTAGCTCATCGGTTGCCTGGAGTTGTTGCACGTAGTGGTAGATTGAGGCAATCTTTTAGCGTGTTGATGAAACTCGGAGCTCACGGACAGGTTTGACTCGACTGTCCCTCTCGTGCCTCACCTTTTGCCAAATAATGGCTGTTGCGTGTTGTAATCTCGCAACATGGTTTGCAAAGCAATCTGTAGAGAGACAGGTTGCGACGACGAATGCGACGTCTACCTCACGTCAAGCTTGATATCGCCCTTCTGTCATTCCTGAAGTTCATCAGAGTTTGCCAAGCGCTCCGTGTGCGAGGGATAGAATCATAAACTCCATCGTTTATAATGTTTGTAGCTTCGCACTACTTATATTTCTCCTTGCAGTATGACATTTGTTTTATTGTCGATTGCATTGCAGGTAGTAAATGTTCTGGGTTCGTTAATCTCTGCTCACCATAAATTGTGAAACTTGACCGACCCTGCAAGTTTCATAAAATTAATTGATGACTACATGGAGTAAGGACTATTTGGTGTTTTGCAGCAGATGGCAGCTCAAGGCGGGCCTGCTGTCAGGGCTCGCAAGGTTCCAAAGGACCACGGCGGACGTGAAAATTCCATCACTGAAGCGTCAGAGAGGGTGTTAGGCGACAGCGGGACTACTTGTGGCTACCAGGAAAGCGACAAAGACGGGTGCTGTGATGACCACCCTCCTAAAAGTCCTAGCAGAGCGAAAGACTTGTGGCGTAAAGTGAAGAAGCAATATGCCTTAGTTGAATATCACGTCTTGCCAGAATATCTCAGGGACAACGAGTTTATTTTGCGGCATTACAGGTCTGATTGGCCTATGAGAGAAACGTTGCTGAGTATATTCACCATCCACAATGAGACCCTCAACATATGGACGTGAGTCGGTCGCATGCTTATTATTGCTTAGTTTGCGTGCTTATGATTCTGCTTTAGACAGAATTTCCTGAAAGACAACCATTTGATCGAAGGATTACGCATTTGTTTTGGATTGGAGTGTATCTCGTCTGATCAAAATGACTTATAAGGGATGTTTTCGAGCTACTCAAAGTTTTTTCACTTCGAGCACAGAGTTCGAGAAGATTTTGTGTAATTCTGAGCTTAATTACGGTTTTGGCATACTGACTTGTGCAGACAGAGATGTGGCCACAATGTTAATTTCGCTAATCGGAGAATGATTCATGCAGGCATTTGATTGGTTTTTTGCTTTTCCTTGCTCTCACGATTTACACAATGCGGCAAGTACCGAAAGAAGGGGCCCTGGCTGAGCGGCTTTCAAGCATGGTGCACATGCCTAAGCGTGGTGACCTGCATCAACTTCACGTTGAGCTAGTGACCTGCTTTCCTGCATTAGCCAATGTACCTTCGTTTCTTCAAGAGCATTTACCTCATATCCTATCCAAGTGTGTTCCGGACACTCCTATTATTGCTGCTAACAGTACGCAGCAATGCTTCATGGTATATGCGTTTTTTGATTATTCCACATTTTCAAAGCTCTTGTGCGTTTCTCGGGTGCCTTACGTATCCGTTTGTGGCATGTTTTAGGTCTGCTCACTAGAGGAATCTCGTAAATCGAAACTTTCTGCTTAACAAAATTCCCTTGATTTGCAGCAAACCATGAAAGACTCGTTAGGCGAGGAGCTGGACATGATGATTGCAGGCGCCACGCGGGTGCCGTTTTTGGTGTTCATGGGAGGATCTATGTTCTGTCTCTTATCAAGCAGTTTTTGCCACCTCTTGTCCTGTCACTCTAGTACCTTGACATACTGGTTGTTGCGCTTAGACTATGTGGGCATTGCTACCATGATTGCCACGAGCTTCTTCCCCCCTGTCTATTACGTATTCTTATGCCAGCCAATGTGGCGACACATCTACTTGACTGGTATTTCTCTGATAGGGGTCGTAACCGTGGTTGTATTTCTTGTGCCCGCATTTCAAACAGCCAAGTATCGTCCCATGCGAGCCATTGCCTTTGCAGCAATGGGGATGTCTGGAATCATACCTGCTGGACACAAGATTTTCTTCTATATCCACGAACCAGTCTGCTTAGAGACTTTGTGGTATGAGATTGGCATGAGTCTATTTTATCTTCTAGGAGTGATAATATACGTCACACGGATTCCTGAACGATGGAAACCAGGTATGTTCGACATCGCTGGCCACAGCCATCAGCTGTTTCATGTGTTAGTTATTGCTGGGGCTTACACTCACTACAGAGCCGGATTGATCTATATGAACTGGAGGGATGCTCATGGGTGCGTTCCTGGTTCACTCATTTGATTGAGTAGGTTTAGCCCAGAACCCGAGGGCTGATTGTAGTATATCACATGGATTGGATTTAGCCATTCTTCACCTATCCCGTCTCATTGGTTGTCTCTTTTACCTGCTGAGGCCTTTGTGGGACTTGAGGTGGACAATAGTTCATGGCAGTTCTAATTCAATATTTGTATTATTCTTGCTTTTAGGCATTCGATGCAGTTGATGCCTTCAAGCCAATAATGTAACCAAAACATTTATCTCAGAATTAGTTCATAAAAATATGTTAGTTGTTGATCTTAGGTTTCTGCACGTTATGTCTTGCGTGCTGCTTAGATCGTTCGTTTAAATGGCTCCCAACTGAATGGCAAATTTGTTTTCGATACCCAAACTGAGAAGTAAGATCACTGCACTGCATGATTGCTGCAGTCGTGAATGGCATGAGAATATCACTTCCAAGGAGGCATTTGTTTGGCGGACCAGGTTTCGGAATACCTCCTGGATAAAAACGAATATCAATGCCAGCATGATAACTTGAAATTGGAAATTGAGCTCATAAACTTAGATTCTGATAAAATAATAGAATAACAGAATTATTGATGCTTGTATAGTTCTCTGACCCACAGATGGTTGATTACGCCCTTAAAGACAAGCAAGTTTAATACTGTTTTTGTTTCAGTTGTGTCTATGTTTGACATGGTATGTTTTTGAATGGTAACCATAATCACGGTGAGCAAAAATACGAAGTGGAATACTCATGCATTCCGCAGACAACCTAGTTTGCTGTCACAAATTTCCTCGTGTTCGAAGTCAATAGCGCCATTGATGACCAGTTAGTTGCTGAACCCCAACAAAAACAACTGCTTATGTAAAAATGGGCATACGTTGAAGTTGCTGCTCGTTGAATCTTCCCGTTAAATTTTGCTGATTAGAGTACTCAGGAAATAAAAAAGTATCGCAACCTATCTACCGCCAGAGTAACTCATACCGTTGTTAACACCCAAAAGGGAAGCATTCCACACGGAGACCACAGATGGAAGTCGGGACCCTCGAAATAATAAGGGTCTTAAGAATGTTCTGTACACGAAGTGGCCAAAAATGGAAGGGAACAAACTGAGTTTACTCTAGAGCACCCACTAACACAATCTGGTTGCCCTGCCAAAATTCAATTTTTCCGCTCTAACCCATCTGACTAGCAGGTCAAGCCCGCGCAAGAGTTTCTAAGTTAAAATTTCAAAATAAAATCTTGTCAACATGGACAAACCAACAACTCAAGTCATTTATTCAAGAATAGAACAGCTATTGTGGATGAGCTTTGGCGCCGTAACTCTAGCCTACAATTGAATCACGTGCTGTATGTATGCTTACAATTTTCAGGCTTTGAACTTGCCTACTTGTGACGCACCCAAAACCAATCGGCCTTTGCTACCAGTATTTGCAACAGTTACTTTCTAGCATCAAATTAAACTTGATGCACAACACTTACTGCACCATTCATTCCAGCAGTGTTGCCAAGACGATTAAAAACCTGATGAGGCTTAATTCAGGTAGAAAGGAATGAGACCATGCAGAAAGGCCACCTCCAGACCTTCCAAACGTGCAAGCAACGGTCCAGTCCAAGAGTTTCCAACTTACTTAGAAGCTCCTCCTCGTGTCGACGGTTGTTTGCCTTCCATGGCCTCCTGTTTCCATTTACATGAACGACATAGAAAAGGACCATCCAGAGGCCTGGATTTACTTGCAAAGAAAGCCCCAGCGTGCACTGAAATTCCATCATTTGCCTCTATGTCACATTGACAAATTGCACAAAGGAACATGCCATTCCCTCCATTGACAGAGGCTCCAGGTCCCAACCTGGGCAGATTCCACAAAATGTTTTTTCAGTTGAAAACCCTCGGTGATTGTTCGTCATATTAGGCCTAGAATTTCCCTCAACAGAAAAATTGCTCATACCAGCACTTCAAAACAAAACAAAGCGGGTGAAGGATATATTCCTCACAAACGCCAATATAAGGTTCTTGACTAACCTCTCCGACAACATTGCAGACCCTTCTTCAAACAACTCTTCCATAACTGGTATTTCATCATACGCAGGCTGAGATGGTGGAGGTTGCTTTTGTTTCCAATGAAACATCCTGTATATGGTACTCTTTTTCTTGATAACAGGAGGTGGAGGTTCAACATAAGTGGGTGGTAACAAGTCAACCACTATGCAGGTAGTATCATCCCTTAGGCCTCGAGTTCGTAGTGTCTCCTGAACATTGGAAAGACGGGCACAATCTTCAGCACATACAAACTTGCTCTCAACGTGGACAAAAAGAATATGTGCAAGGTATATGCACCAAGCAGCACTTCTCACTGCAATCTTTAAACTCCATACAGCTTTTCCCAGTTCAACATTTCAACCACTACAAATTACCACCGCAAGACAATTGATGTGCGTGTACTACATGGTGAGAAACTCAAGCAGGGTAATCGGCTTGACTAGATTGCTTGATCCCAACCTTGATGATATGTTTGGCAGCAACCTCTGGTTGTAGCAAACCCCGGCAACACTTTGCGGCCTTTTCTGAAGTCAAAGCATCCCATACTCCATCCGACGCAATAATGAGCCTGCCTCCATTAGTTGATAGCTGCAAGCGTAAATTGGGTTAATGAAGGGCCTTCCAAAGAGAAAAATGCAGCAATGAGAAGCATATTAATATGTACTAGAAGCTTCAATCTAAACTTACAACTACTGCATTGCTCGTATTCTAAAACATTGCACTAATCTAGACTGAGGTTAGGGCTAGCACATTCTCACCTTTATCTGCTTTACATGAGGAACAGGGACTATAAATTCCCCTACGTCCATGTCTCCAATCGATCTTGATAGACATAATCCACCTGGCCAAACCCTCAACGGCCCAATCTGCAACAAAAAAAATCATGTATACAAATGAGATGAAAACGAGAGAAGACCTAAGCTATATGCGCACAATACAAGATAAGCCATTCATACACGATCTATAAGGTGAAAGAGCCAGCAGATAGAAGGATTTGAAGACAGGGTAATAATTGATCCCATATAAACTCGAATATATTAATCTTGAAGTTCTCCTTGTACCTCAGCACCGCCAACAATGCTAAGCCTGCCAACTTCCCCACCAGCTGCTCTAACACGTTCCCTCCTGTGAAGGAAATGCCCAAGGTTCAACAAAATTAATGATCCATAAAATAACACCCACGTCCATAGTCAACTTTCAGATCATATTTGCTGTCAAACAGGGCAATCATATGGATGTAGATTCGCAATGAACAAAAAGAATGGCAAGTTGAGCGAATACAAAGTTTATCAAATATAAAGTATGAGAAGTTCCTACTCTTCCTCATTGTCGTCTAGTCTGTGGTCAACAGTAAGGTCTGTCACAACGCCTTGTGAGTCTAGGACACAACGTGAGTCTCCAACACAAGCTACAGTGATGGTCCAACCATCTATCACTACAAAAGTAACAGTTGTTCCTGACGTTTGCTCTGATAACACATCAACACAGATGCACATTAATACTCTATTTCTGCGGTTCAAGGAGAAATTCAATCACAGTACAAGGCAACACTGAATAAATAAAAAAGACCACGGAACAAATGTAGTACAAAAGATGATGAAATGCAAGGTTATTACATTCGAAATACCTTTAGCTTGGAACTCTTTATCAGTTTTCACGAACCCCGCAACCAGTGCTCGCGGCAGAGCTGCTAACCAGTCGTCACGCTTAAGACCAGGGCTCAGTGCACTCATCACGTCATTCAAAAGATTTTCTTTGGTGTAAATTGCAGCTGCTGATCCATTATGGCCATCAAAGATCTAATCCAAGCCACACCAAACTTAGTGATCGAGATCAACTCAAACCCACTAGAAGAAAACTTACAAACCTGACCCTATAGTGATATCTTTTGCTCTTTGGGATTTGAACTATCATTGGAAACATTTCCACTGGGTCGCGAGGGAAAATGACTGCGAATCGAAGTTTTAAGAGATGTTTAGATACCATGGGAAAGAAATGTGTGGGGTAATCAACACACCTACTAAATCTGATTAGATCTAGAGAAAAAAATCTGCAATATCTCTAATGCACGTCTATTGAGTACCAATCATACGTATTTCCGTGTACTCACTCTCCAGAACAACGAGACACACCTAGCAGACCCTGGAATCCACTACACCAAGAGCAAGGATGCAAGATCCACTTGAAACGGGCGTACAATGTCCAAAAACATACCCCAAAAACTGCGAACGTCGAAGAACCGTCTCCAGGTATTCTTTGACAGTCCGTCTTCACCAGCGCAAAATCCTCCCCTTTCCTTGGCTGTAACGCCAGTCCACACCGCAGTAAGGGGTTTTCAACAATCTCGTTTTTTAACTCATAGGCTAGTAGAGACGCCAACGGAACCATCGGTGGATTTCTAGGTGGGGTTCTACTGCGATTAGGAAGGCTGGGAAAAAACCCATTGTGTCGACTGGGCTTTCCATTCTCTTTGGAACCCATAATGCTCAAACGTCGACTGTCTTCAGCTGTGTAACTGTAAGGCCATGCTCAGAAAGAACGAGATAACCTCAGAAGGCATTGATATACTCGATTGCTCCTTGAAAAAGGCGAATCTGCACGCGCAAATGGAACATTAGGATAAGCCACATCTGCCGCGGGAGGAGGACAAGGGAAACATTCCCCAAGATAATTCAACCAATTTCTTGCTGAATACTACTTCCCAGCAGCACATTGAATCAATTTCTGAAAATAACTCACTTGCATTACTGATGGAGATTCATCAGAATAAATGGTAGAACCCAGACCGCAACAGAGGTATACACTTGGCTTCACATACTATACTAGGTTTTGAAATGCATTTACACCGGTCTTAAACAAACTAGCGATCGCCAGTTGAGACAAGACTAAAATGTCATCGTCTTCAACAGACTTTTCCTTCAGGTACTTCCTTTTTTTCAAGGTTCAAAGAGTGTTTCAGGGAAGAAGTATGGACATAGAATCCCATGATAGTGTCTTATGTAGTCAAAGCTTCGCGATTGATATTCCTGGTTGATCAATTCACATTGCCGATCACGAGCTTCAAGAAACTACTGATCTGTCATTGCTAGATGATTTCAGCACTGCTACATAATGAATATAGACTCTACAAATACCCCAGCCAAAGTAGATGGTTTGCAGAGTTAAGTATGTTTCCTCAAGACTCTTTAACACGCTGTTGCCAAACATATAAAACGACGCAGTTCTACTTCATAAGCTCTCCTTCGATAATACGACCTACACATCCCAAGGATTATTATTCGCCTAGACTGAGCATCCCACAGGAAAGTCTACTAGTTGTTTATTGCTTGCGATTCAGACATCACCGAGCTGCTTTAAAACTGAATGCAAACTATCTGTGACAGATCTGAAGATTGGAAGCAGAGACCAGGCCTGAAAAGCTGCCAGCGTACAAGCTGTTCAAAACCCACTAACTTCTCCTGACACTACCAACGAAACCCACTTTAAGCGACTTAGATGATGAGTTCACTACAGGTGACACACTAGTACTGTCATTACCTACGACTGAGGCCATAATCCCCCAAGTACAAAATAAAGGTAAACAAAACCTGTACATTAAACATAAGTTTAAAACTGTCCCATCAACATTGCTTACGAGACCACCCACCTTAGACCCGATCCCAAGACACTCATCCCAACTATACACCGGCACCCCCAGGGACTCCACAGTCCGATAATGAGCATATTCAGTCGATCATACCCAATGCACCCAAGAATAACCCCGGAAATCACCTCCGACTCTCAATCCTGCTCACTCTCAAACCTACCTACCTGGAAAGACATGATCTCAGATACAGAAACGCGCCTCCTGTCTCTCTCGGTTCGACCACAGCACCAAGCCCGCCACATTGGGATTCCTATCCCCGCCACTCAGCCTCTGCCTTCTCATCCCCCACAGGACAAAAAAAAAACACACAGAGAAGAAAAAATAATAAAACGCATTAATACCCCAAATGCAGATACGACCCCACGCCAACCCGGCGGCCGCACAGACCCTACTCTCGGCGGTACTCCCCAGCCACTAAACATCCAGCATGCTCATCCCTTGTCACCTGAGATCTTGATCGAAGTGACTCCCTACCCAACGGCCTCTGTCGCAATGTACCCCCTCCACGGCAATGCCGTTTCCTACGCCTTCACTTGAACACCACTAAAGCTTCTCTCTCCCTCCCCTGGATACCAACAAACTACACAACAACCAACCCCAAGCTCAAGTCCTTCCCTTCCTTCCTTCTCTGCCCCACTCTGTCCACCTGCGTCCCTCACTCCTCTTCTCTCCCTGCTCACGCGGTGCCAGTGAGGACCGCCTTCAGGATGACAGCGACGAAAGCGATGACAGTGTGGTGGAAAAACACGCATGGGAGGACCGTGTGGCGAAGCTGGCACGAGACGATGGCAGTGATTGCATCCAGTTGGAAATGGTGGCGCAGCGAACACAGTGGGGCTAGTAGAGGAGCATTGGGCACTGAAAGTAGCACGGAAAGAGGGAAAAACAGAAAGAAAGAGAGAGAGAGAGAGAGAGAGAGCACAGCCCAGCCCAGCCCAACCCAGCCCAGCGCAGCAGAGTAGAAACAGAGCCCAGTGTCGTAGAGCAGTGCATGGCAAGGCAAGGAAGAGTGCGTGAGTGACCCGAGCGAGGGTGCTGCTGCTGCTGCTTGTTGCGAACGGGACGGCACGGGACTGGACTGGCCGGGACGGGAGGGGAGGGGTGGGGGTGGTGCTGGGGGGTGCTGGGCTGGCGTGGACCCTTGGCCGATGCCTCTCTCTCCGTCCCCTCCCCTCCCTTCGTTGTGGCAGTGGTTGTGTAGTTACCCGCACTTACTTACTTTCCAAGCAGCAGCAGCATCACCAGCAGCAGGCTGCGGCGCCCGCTCTCCCTCCCTCCCCCAGGTCCCTTGGCCTCCGGAACGGGTGCGGCACCCCCTCCCCCTCCCATCCCCAGCCCGGGAACCAACGCAGGGGAGCGTGGGGGAGCGTGTTCTAGGGGTGTGGGGTCATGGGGAACATTCATACCTTCATTCATCAGTAAATAAATTCATCCATCGGGGGGAGAGGGGGGTTGGCTGGTTCGGATATGAAAGAAGGTGCGAGGGAGGGGGAGGTAGGGGATGGATGTGATCCCCTCATCCCTCACTCTTCTCATTCATTCATTCCTCATTCCTCATTCATTCATTCCTCATTCCTCATTCATTCCTCATTCCTCATTCATCATTCCTTCCTTCCTTTCCTCATTCCTTCCAGAAACATCCTCTGCTCTTCTCTCCCTTTCAGAAAGTATCTGGATTCAAAAGGCACGGCAACATCACCCCATCGCCGAAAAAATTAAAAAGTTTCAAGCCTTCTAGATGCTTCGTTTCCGCTTCTGCTACACCACTGCTTCGTGTGTGCTTGCTTGCTTGTCTTCATTTTATATATTTATGCAAATATGGGATTGTTCAATTTTTTAACTTAACCTTCAAGCAGGTCCTCGTGTTTGCAATAAAATCAAATAATGAAAATTTTTTTGTGTGATGGATGAGAAGAGTAAAATGATTGTCTAAAACAGTGAAAAAGAAATTGAAAATAAGATTATTTCAAAAATTGAAATTGATATAAAATAATCGTTTTATATCAGGTTCATCTTGAGATATATTTTGAGTGTGTAAAAAACGTAACTTGCCGATGAGAGTATTTTAAAAAATACTTACTTTGTCGAATGAAAATGGTTTGTTACAAACATTAATACCCCATAGATATTTTAGCAATAATATGGTATAAAGTCTAAAAATAGTTTTGTTATAAGAATTTTATAAAAATCTATATGTAAAGTTGCTAAAATATTAATCTTTTAGTAATAATATGTCTATATGTTAATACCACCTTGGCATTTTATTAAGGTTGTTTAAGCCATAATGTCCATATTTTACATACTTAAAGTTGTTTGTAATCTATAATAATACTTAGTTATGTGAAAATTTAAACAAAATAAAAAAAGATATTTAAAAAGAAAATCTCAACTGTGAAATAGCTGCATTACTCTTAATTTTTTAATATGTAATATGAATTTTTTTTTTCTTATCTAAATTTTATAACAAATAAATTTATAAAAATTTACACTTCAATTTTATATACTAAGAAGTTATTATTGTTAAATGTTATGGTATATGTTCCCACTAAAAGATAATAAACCTTGATCTCAAATATAAATTTTTAGATATGTAATTTCTTTGGATCAATAGTGCTATGTTAATAAACAATTTCTATCATAAGTAATGATATTTTGCAGCTTTAAGAATTATTTTAAAAACTTCAATATTATAATCATAATATTTAATTTAAAATTTTAGATTTTTTACTTCTCTACTATTGAAAAATTAAAAAAATCTTACTAATTAACTATAAAAAATCTCTCTATTTTATCAAGATTTAAATTAATATTAATAGTTTAATTTCTATTGTCATCAAATTTATATATTGATCAAAATATTTTTACTTATATGTCTTGTAGCATATCTTATGGTTGGTATCTTAATAAAAAAAATTACATAAAAGATTATACATATATATACAAATTCTATCCAAAATATTATTTTAGAATAATAATATATAATTTTCATACAATGTTTTTAAAACCACAAAAAAATACAATCATAGTAAGATATTTATCTAAATTAAAATATCAGCCAAAAGAGACATAAATTGTCAAGAAGCTCCAAAGGAAACTTGTCCATTTTGATTTCAAGAAAACAAAGTCATTACACAATAGTGCAATTGTTAAATAATATTAAAATATCAAAACATACTATAAACTAAAATTAAATAGACTAAAAATTTATAAAAAAATATTTAATTAATAAAAAGGAAATAATTTATTTTCTTACAAACTATGTAGAAGAATAATAAAGAGATTAAATGTAAAGCAATAATTAAAGTTTAATGAAAATTGAAGGAACTCTAATTTAATCAACTTGATTTTTTTAATAGTCTATTTTCTAATAAAAATATTACCTTGGAAATTTTGTCATCTTTTTCTTTTTTGGATAATTAAATATTAGATCAATGATTAGTCCTATCTAACACCATCTAGAATAATAACATCAAATGTAAATGTAATATAACAATTTTTTTAATATATTCTAAGTATCTTTATAGCAAACTTAGAAGCACTTTTAATCCAACAATACCATCAAATCTAATTCACAAGACTCAAAACAAAGACAACTCCAAACCGCTGAAGACATCAATACAAAAATACAATACAAAAATATAATGTGCCATCTAGAAATAATGATTTGTTGAGAACTTCTCAAATCTTTAATTAATTTAGACACAATGGAATTTTGCCTCAAATCATTTGATAACCAAAGAATTAGAACATTTAAACATTATTCCAACTTGAACAACATGATAAATTCCAAACTATGGTGAAATAAACAAAAATAATAATAATAAAAATAAAAACACTCTTTCATGTAAAAGAAATAATGACCAAGACAGTCCATACTTACAAAAGCATCTTGCTTTTAAACAAAACAAATTGATAATAATCATAATAATAATAATATAAGAGGGTATTAAATGACACATGCCCAACTTTTGAAGCCACCAATTTACAACATAAACTCATCCATGTAGATACCAGAACCTAAATAATGAAGCATTTGAACACCATCAATCAAACCATTTAGTAGTAGTTCCTGTGGTGTGGAGTTTGCATCATCTCACAGAATGAGCGTAGCTCAGGTGGTATCTAACACACTACATCCCTCTCTTATGAGCAACCAGGAACAAGCCAGAGTCCTTATAAAAGCGACGATTCAGAGCATCAGGTCGGAGCTATGCCGGCGATTTCAAGGCAAAGCGTGGCTATGCAGACAAGCTCTGAGACTCTTTTGAGTAGTTTTTATAGATGTCACACAAGATGGTTGTGTAACCCACATGCGAGACCAACGTTCAGGAGTTCACTGACACCAGGAATTCATGTCGAAATATCAGGAGCGTGAAGTTACCTCGTCTACAAGTCGGTATCATTGTGGTCACTGGAAAATCTGGCTCTCTCCCTCGCGGTCGCCGACATGTGGGGATGGTTTGCACCCTCTGGATGCGACCACTTTCTCCTGCGGTGCTCAAGGATGTAATTTGATTGTCGATAGAGCATGAGAATGTCAAGTGAAAGTAGGTGACGCAGGTACATGCAACGGACAAACTTGGACTTGCTCTTTCTTGAGATGAAATAGACAAATTGAGAATTTCTTCGAGCCGTGTAGATGTGACCTGTTATCAGTCAAAACTATGCAACTGGAACAGAAATATTTTACAGAGAACTGGTGTTTTTACAGTTTTTACAGTTTTGTACATCTATAACAATCCCAAACTAATAAGGCTTTACCATGATGGAGCTTAAGGGTGGTGGTATGCACCCTGAGATTGATAACTAGTGAGGGGTAAGTTCATAGGTCATCGGCAAAGAGTGAACCATCCTTGCTATGCTTCTCCTGAATCCTGCGGCAGCATCAGTCTTGTGACGCTCTGTGAAGATATATGCAAGAACATACTTAAATGTTCTCTGGCCTGGGTTTAACTAAACTGCCACATCGTAGTTGCTTGAAACGGTTGGGTGTATTGAACCTCGTCAGGCAGGCTTCGAGAATTGTTACGTGGTATACATTACAGTAAGCTCTTTTTACCTGATTAAATTCACACCCAACGATCGTCTCTACTGCTAACCATGGTCTCCCTGTCGTTGGCACGAGGACCTTGCCTCGACTCTGCAGAATACCTGACCAAACCAGGACTACAAAAGTGAGGAACGCTAAGCCAGATCTAAAGGAGCATCGAAATAGTATATCTAATGCACAGTGATATCTTTTGTTTTGATGTTATTCTCAGTTTTCAGAAACGGACCAAGCTCAAATCAAGAAAGACGATGGAAGCTGATCTATGAAAAAATAGCGATTACTTAGTGCCGATCAGAATCCGACAGAACTATACGAATCCAAACAGTGCTACTTTCAAACCTGTCAGGCTAATAGGAAGCATTTCGTCCCAATCACGTTGATCTAATTCACTCAAACGTTCAAGATCTTCTCAGAAGCAATCAAATTTTTAGAGATCATGTTTTCCCATAAGTCCCAAATTGAACTTCACTTCAGCTGAGTGTCCAACTGCCAACGAAACTAACTTCGTACTGTCAAATCCTGTCTAAGGTTACCATACTTGATATTACTCGGATGTAAAAGTTTGTGCATAAATGTGCACTCTCCTCGCTTCCAGCTACAAAGCTGTGCCCCTTGCTCAATTCGGTATCTTTAATTAAAATAGAAGGTTTAAAATAAACATCTAGAGGGTGAGGACAAGGACAGAGGACAGTTCTAGGGACACGCAGCGATGTGTGGTGCCCTCAAGGGCAGCACACAACTATTCTTGTTAGAACCCAATCTTAAATTCAAGAGAAAATGCTCGGAACATCCCCTTAACTGTTCAATGAACATGTGATCATTGGTGGCGAGTTTTAATGCAGAGAAAGAGTTACACAACTCCCACATTTGATTCATGGGACCCAGCCGTGTTCCACAGCAATAATCCCAATTAAAGGTCCTTCGGGGCATGCAGCTATACCAAAAGCTGGCCAAAGAGGCGAATCACGATTTAGAGCAGCATCACGCTTGCCTATTCGCATCAGCTCTAGCTCAGTAACAAAATACTTCCAGAATTTTTCCAGCAGACGAATCAATGAAAAGCACATTGAATAAGATGGGCAATATTGCAGCCAACACTGTTATATAGTACTTCCCATTTCCGAGATCATGTCAGTACAGTGAACGACCACGCAAAATTCCTCGATGGTAGCGATTTTATCAACAATATTCTTGAAGATCTCACTAGGTTCTTCTGTCCAAAATAGACAAGTTTTCTAGATTCTGAACAATTATTCCACTTCCATGAAATCTTCTCAAGCTGTCATCCTCCACAACTTGGTCTTCCATGTACTTCAATGACCATACATTAAACACCTTGTGAGATTACCTTCGTTTGTGGCCATCGTGGGCTGTCCAATTGAGGGTGACAATGAGATTCTTTCTCTTGTTGTATAGAGTATATTTCAGAAGTTCTCGAACGTGATCTCAGGTGCTCAAGTAGAAGTCCTACACATTCACTGAACTGGCTTAAATCGATAACTCTCTGCATCCAATTCAAACGAAAAATCAACATTCTTGCCCTGTCCATAATTAAGCTCATTGAGGTGCATTCGAGATGGACCCAAGAGATGCCAGACACAAGGAAATGATAAACCAGTGTTGGCACTGGTATGAGCTGCAACGTAAAACCGAGGAAAGATCTGTGAAGCTAGATCGGTGCCCTTGGTCCTGAGTAGCATTGGCCATCGACATTGTCAATCATTTCAAACCAATGAAGAGGACAGTGCCAGGGTTCTCAGGTGGAAGACCAACTACCAGAAACTTGCCTTAACGTAGGAGCCGCATGGCAAGCCACGCACAAGGTTTGCCAGCTAACCTAACCTGCACCGAAACGAGTCTTCGCAGAGGCTCTCATGCAGTTCACCAAATGCATACCCGAATCAATCTTGCTTCAGAAGTCCAAGTGAACGTGGTCCCCACAAATAAGCATTTCTCCATATCCGCCTACACTACCATCGTCTGCTCAATCTCATTGAAGAAACTTATCCCTGAGCCCCCAAGACCCCTCCATGTCTCCCCTCTGCACTCGAATCTGAACAGTGATGCGATGTTGTTCTCCGAAAACGAAAACCACATCAATACAAAAAAAAAAAAAAAAAAAAAAAAAAAAAACCCTAACAACAACAACAACAACAAACCTCACAAACTGTTGTGCATGACTTGCCACACCATGTCAATGTAACCCATGTTGTAATTGTCCCATTGCTTGCTAATTCTTCCGTTTCCGTTGCCTCTGTCGCCCTCTGTGCATGGTCAACTCTTCTGCCATGAACCGATTGTGTGGGCTCCCGCTTCACCTGCTTCAACAAAAGCATCATTCTTGCGATGTCGATTGAAGCTGGCAACGCATCACAGACCACAAGTGCCTCTGAAATTCTTACTCATGTGATGTTGAATGAGTTGTACCATTGGTTGTGGTATTTGGATGTAAGAAGGGTTGTTGTGGGTTGAATTGTGGAGTGTGTTACAACAATTAGTTTTTGGAAGTTATGGATGGAAGGAAACGAATAATAAAGCACAATAAAAAAAGATTTATTCATGTATGTATGTATGTATGTATGTATGTGTACTTTTTTCAATAAAATGAAAGGTGACAGGTAGGAGCACTGTAACAATTTCGGATCATTGGTTCACAATTACGTTATTTATAGATAATTTATTTTAGTTAGAAGATTTTATATTTGACATGCTAATAGTATTGTCATACTCATTCAAAGAAAATCATGCATATATGCTTAATTATGAATATTAAGTAAGAAATGTGAGAATCACAAACTAATGGAACATAAAGAAATAAATTTGGAAGAATAAATTAACATTAGCTTTTAGTAAATTGAACCATCTAACAAAACCATCATTACACTCCCCATCTTTTTTCCCTTGTTCCCATTCTTTACGCCTATTCTTAGTTCTCGGCCCCTCTTGTCCTCCTTATCTTTGTTCCCAATGCCAATTCCTTGTCCCTATTCTTAGCCCTTGTCCCCAATAAGTAAGTTGACTTCATGAGAGATTTTGTCACCAGCAAGTTTTCTTTTGAAGAATTAACTTGGCTTCAACCAAAGGCTTAAAGGTATTACATAATGTCTTGTAGGGCAATCCAAAAAAAAACTAGACTTAATTCCATTGCATAGTCTCAAAGTCTTAATTGAATCCAAGCCTCATTCAAGTTTTGAAATTGTACTAGCCATTAATTTGGAGCAACTTAGTTAACTAATTTTTTGTCATGATTTAGTATGTGAACAACTTGCAACACTTCTGCATGTAATGACTCCATGTCTATATTTATTCCAATGATCCCATTTTATTTAAAGTATTTTGTAATGATTCTATGTCTATATTTACTTCCATTCATTTAAATATTTGAAGCATTTAAAATGAAGCATTGTTCCATTGTAAACCAAATGCACAATTGCACCAAGTTGTAAATTTAATTTACTAAATCCTTCTTTCTTGAGTATAGAAAAAAATTCTATAATATTAATGTGTATGAAATTGCTAATGTTCAAGAAAACCAATCCAAGGCCCCATGCATAGAGTCTAAAAATAATAATAATAATAATAATAATAATAATTTTATTTTTCAATCTTTTCTTTAATCTAAAAAGATGTTTGCCATCCAAATCTCTTTTTTTATTATACTTATATCTAAGTTCTTGAAAAAACCAATATACAATCTTCTCAAATTGATTGTTGAAAAAAAACTTCAATAAGAATAATGAAAAGAATGAGATGAACCTCCAAAAACCCACTACACAATCATCTACTTCCACAAAGCATCAACATTGTTGCTTTTATTTTCTTCTTCTCCATAACTATTTCTATTGCCTATTGCTTCTTCAACATCTTTTTTTAAAGACAAATTACCTTCACTACATTCAATACCAAGGTTAAGAATTTTCTTGTTGTTGCTGCTAGCTCAACTCCATTGACTCTAAATGCAGGCATGGAAGTACAAGAACTTGAGTTCAAATCCAAAACAAAAAGAATAAAAATCATAATTGAGGATTGCAACAAGTGGAGCAAGAAGTAGGAGAAATCCACCTACTAAATAGAGACAATAGCATAGGACCATGAGTTGTTGCAACATAGGAGAACTTAAAATGTAATGTAAAGCATAATAGATTTGAGCAAACAATGCATATGAATGAATAAGATCTAATGTCATATGTAGGAAGAATGAGGTTGAAACATGGATGAGGAAGAGGGAAGAAAGAAAAGGAAGACGGAACTTGGAAATGGAGGCGAGAGGGATGTAATGATGGTTTTGTTAGGTAGATCAATTTAGTAAAAGCTAAGGTCAATTTGACTTTCTTCTAAATTTATTATATAAAACTACATTTTTTAAAATTATAAATTTTGGTTACAATTGATTATAATAGTAATAACTTGAAGTAGTATAAAAAATTTGAAATAAAAATAATATTCTATTTTTAATATATAACTCTATTATTAAATATTTTTGAATTTACAAAATCATTAAATTGATCCACACGTATACTAAATTGACTCACCCATCATCATACATCTACACATAAATTCTTGAGCTCACCTTTTCATTAGTTTTGGATCTAGCAATGGAGAACTTTTTAGTAATGGTTAAGATGGGTGGATAAATTTAGTAAATATTTGGATCAATGTAACAATTTCTTAAATTTATAATATTATATCAATAGCATTCCTTTGAATATTTTAAAATTAATTAATTTTTTTTGTTGTAAATGTCTTATATGACTAAATTTATAATAATACGTAATATTGTATTATATAAATAGATGATATCATAATAACAATAATAATAGCAATGTACATTATAGACATCTATTATCTTTGATTTTATTAGAATGAAATTTTAAAATAAAAATAATAAAAAAAAGCATTTTTAAGAATTATTTATGATGTTGTAAATTTTAATTATTACAACTGTATTTGTTTTCTCTTTTATAAGCCGAAATTTTAAATAAATATTGAAGAATGTATCAAAGTGATAAAAAAACTAAATGCAGAATTACTAATATCTTTAAAAAAAAATCATCTAGTGTAAAAAATATATAGGTCAAAAATGCTAAAAATTCTATATTGTACTAAATATGCATTGTCTTTTTTTTTTGTTATCATAAATAATTTATAAATTTATAGTATAATACATGCTTTAACATGTAACCATAGAAATTAAGTGGTTTGATTTTAATTGTTTTAAAACCATTTAAATATTTACAAATGTATAGCAAATATTTTTATGTATGTATTCAATTAAAATTAAAATTTTCTATTGATTGTTACTAGAGATAGTTGTCAAGAAGTTATTTATACATAACTAAATTTCATACTTAAAATTTAAAAATACTATAAAATTTCCATGAATATTTAAATATTTTTTTACATACACAACATCAACTTTAATTCTCAAAATAAAAAGTTATAAACATTTCTTTTACATATGTACAGATGCATATACACACACATATATGCATTTATTTTTTACATTTTTCATTTTAGATAAGTTAAATGATGGAGTGTTTTTACATTATAAATTCTTTTGCAATTCTACCAAATCAGCAAAGATTACAAGTTTTAAGATTGTAATATTTTGTTTTAAGTCAAGGCCCTGAAGGATGAGATTTGAATTTTTAACTTCACATCATACAAAGTGAACTTAAAAGAAAAATGAAATTTAGTTTAAAATATGTTTGTAGAAATGGTATATTAAAAATAAATGAAATGGTATCAATTCATATTAAACACAAGTTTTTGTGCATAACTACACAGTAAGATTAAATTTTCATTAACTGTCCATATTAAATCCCATATTTCATATTCAAATAGAGTTATAAAATTCTAAATCATACCAATTTAACCTGTAGTATAAATATAGAATACGTAATAGACATAGGATTGCAACTAAGTTTTGCTTTACAATGAATGATACACTATTATGATAAATAAATGTTTTCCTTTTCTTGCTCCAATTACACTCAACTCTTTCATAGCTGAAGGACAACACATCACTTTGTGTAAAAAATAGTGGACTTCACCAGAAAAAAATGAATAATAAACAAGTTCCTCAAAAAATCTAAGTGGCCCAATTCCTTTTCAGAAATACTGTGCCTCCAATGCCCCTTTGGTATTTCAGAATGTTCCAAAAACCAAAAAATCCAGAGGCAACCTCTGCACAAGCTGCACAAGAAATGTCTGCTCCCAACACTAACCACTTCAAAAAATAAAAACAATATCCAAAAAAATCTTTAATTTTTAAAAAATCAGTCATTCTTAATAAGTAACGGTGTCCTTTATGTATGATTCGCCTGGATTGAGGCATATTTGGAACATAATTCTGTGGTCCAATCCTCCTTCGCTGCCCACTAATTGACAGATTTACTACACTGTTGGCTATTTACATTTTGAGCTTTGAAGTGGGTTCTTAAAGAAGTTGACCCCAGTCATCCAATATTTACAAAAGAGATCTGCTTTAATTGCCCCAACCCTAGAAAATGCTCAGATCTCTTTCCATCCACCAGAGAGCATGTACAAAACAATAAAAAATAAATTAATTAAAAAAAACATACCACACAGAGTGTAGGGAGCTTCAGAGCTGAGCTGCCTAAAGGCTTTTCGACCATCTTCAGTTCACTTTTGACATGGCCATCAGTAGTCTAGTCAGCCTATTCTGTTCACTAACCTTCATGTTAAGATAGAAAGTTGGCACTCAGGTGTAGTCGAACCTTCATGAGCCCTGTGATCATCAGCATTGTCACCTGTGAACACAAACCCCATCTCTGCAACTTTTAAGTACAGTATAGAATCCATGTAATGAATTTTTTCTCTATTATTTTTTTATATCCTTTCGTAATAGGAGCAGTGTCATTGAAGTGGATACGATAGGCAGTCCTTGGATTCATCAACACCTGTGGTTGGAAACCGAAGAGAAACATCAATGCTATGAAAACTACGTCAAATGCAGCAGTACCCAGTGACAACAGGCATAATGAGTTAGTTCAGAATTGAGAGAACTTAAAACCTGTGCCAGTACACGCACAAGAGCTATGATTATCAAGCAGGATAGTTATCACTTCAATATAGCTACTGAAAAAAAAAAAAACTAGTAAAAATCATAAAACAAACAAAAAGAAGAAAAGAATAAAATTACAAAATTACAAAATAAAAACCAGCTGAAGACACTGTTTCGTAAGCGCAAATATGATGGCATTGGTGCAAGAAACTAGATATAGAATTAACACACGAAATGTGGGCTGAGGCGCATGAGCGTGAAATAGGTGATAAGCCCAAAAAACACATCCCCCCCCCCCTCCCTCCCTCCCTCCCTCCCTTCCCTTGCCGGAAGCTAACGTGACCTAAATCTATTCAAGAGCCCAATTTTCTAGGCATGGTCGAGATTCATTAACTACAAAGCAACAGGTTTCTCCTGCTGCTGCTAGCAAAACCCACTATCAAGCAAATCCCCGCTGATAGCTTTCCCAATAAGTAGTGCAAAAAACACAGAAGCCACAAAGATCACAATACAAGATGCTTGGTTTGAATGCCCTTCGTTTTGTCACAGAAAGACGCAAAGCTGGGGACGAAGATGCAAATGAGCGGGATATTATGCCGATGTTGCAGTGCCAGGACAAAAACTCTTGTACAGCACGAGGCACAAAAAGACTCCCATAAATTTGTTTTAATGCACTATTTCTTCGAGTGGCTACCTTCGTTGCGCACCAGGTGCTTCTTCGACTTGGTGCCATTGGAAGTGGCCTCTGTGTGACCACCAGCCAATGCAATGTTGCGAAGCCCTTCTTGCACTGCATCACAGTCTCCAACCCTCGCGTCATCGACCGAACGAGACACTGAACTCAACCACGGATGCTGCAGGCATCGACCAGCGGTGGGCCGCTTCTCGGGAACAAAATCCAGCAACGGCACTAAGAATTCAGCGAGCTCCTGCGCCTCTTGTTCCGAAAAATCGTACTTTTCTATTAACACGTTGTCCAAGGGCCAGTACCGTAACCTTCGAATGTGCCGCAGGTCTCCGTGCCGGTTAAAATAGTCGCGAGAATACTTTCCTGATAGGGCGATCTGCAAAACCAGTTGCTTCGTGTCAGACAGGAAGAGGATTGGATAGTGCAACGAATCCGCTGTTCACCAAAATCAATACTGCAGGAGCGACGCTTATGCAGATTAGCGACAAAAGAAAGGAGTGTCCGGAAGTGAAGAAGATAAACGAACCTTGCGAGGCATGCGACCCAACAATTCCATCATTAGCGCTAAATGATCCTGCACACATGGGTGTGCGCTCACGATTCAGAGAAAGCCTGATGCCGACTCCGAGATTGCATTGTATGGAACAGAGAAACTCTACAGCTCATACTCTCAGAAAATCCCTGCTTCGACGGAGCTACACATTCCTATCCAAAGAGATTGTAACCAAAGACCCACCTCATCCCTGCCGAAGTCATCTCCACTACGGGGATCGAAAAGGACATCTCCAGTGGCCAGCTCAAAAATAATACACGCAAATGACCACATATCAGCTGGAGTCGAATACTTCGAACCCAGAAGAACTTCTGGACATCGGTACTGCCGTGTTTGAATGTCGGCGGTAAATTGCTTATAAGTCCAGCAAGCATTCCCTAGATCCACTATTTTACATCGCAATTCCATCTTACTTAAGTCCTCCGTGAGAGGCAAGCTCCGGCCTCGTTTAGGAGCACTCGCACACAAAGGACGGTCTCCTTTGACATCGTGCTCCTCGTCACAGGCATCAACGCTTTCCTCCTTTGAACCACGCAGCCTCTCTGTAGCATTTATAATCTCTGCAGGTTCACAGGCGACCTTTTCTGATTCCTCCTTTCCGAACTTCGACACGCGAGGGTCTGGATCACAGTTTTCTCTTTCCCTATCATTGCCATTGCCACCCGCTTTCTTTGCCTTTCTTTTTGCTTTTTTCTTCTGATTCTTAGAAAGATTCGGAGAGAGCGGCTTATCAAATCCCGAAAGCGTCTGCGATTTCTCACCTGGACCTGGAATCTCCAACGGCACGTGGTCGGAATTGCGAGGGTCCTTGGAGCGATCCAAAGGAAACAGAAGCAGAATATTTTCAGGTTTCAAGTCAGTGTGAATGATGGAGAGCTGACGGTGCAGGTAATCAAGCCCCACCAAAGTCTCCTTTGCAATTTGCTTCACCATCTGAAGTGGTATACCCCTGTAATTGTAAGCCTTAATGAGCGTAAGAAGATTATCCCCTAAATATTCAAAAACCATGCACACATGCGTTCCATTCTGTCCTGTATGCTTAAAGTGGTCCAACAGTTTCACAACGCCCTTGCGGTCCTCGACATCGCCGTCTGCAATTTGCTTCAAAATCGTAATCTCATCGAGAGCCGCTTCGGTGTAATGCTGCGCACTTTTCTGCACCTTCAATGCCACATATTTCTGCACTCCACAAGAACACCCGCTCATCAGATCATTCTCCAATCGCACCAACACCCACATACCCACAGAAACATCCCTCTAATTGAAACCAATCATCCATTTCAAACCCAAGACGTCTCTTGCATCCTATTCCGCGTCTGGCACGTCTTCCTCGCACACCACCCTCATGACTCTCCAAGCCCTAAAAACCATCCAGACTACAGAACTGCTACCTCACAAACATACAAATAGAAGAGGGAAAAGAAAAGAAAAGAAAAGAAAAAAAGAAGAAGAAGAAAAAATAAAACCGTCGACATCACCGCAATCAACTGACGCATTCGACCACACGACGATGCGAACCTTATCAAGCGTGTCCCAAGCGAGCCAAACGGTCGAGAAGTGCCCCCATCCAAGCTTCCGGTACACCACGTAACGGCCATTGTGAAACCAGTCCCCAATGCGGATGGCGTGGTAACCCCCGCGCCTGTACTCGTCGCTGCCCTCGTCCTCCGATTCCGACACATCGCTACTCTCCCTACTATCCCAACTCTGCACACTACCCTTGCGGACTTTCTTCGACTCCCCTCCTCCCTCCTTCCGCTCGCCGTCCTTCCCAGCCATCTCCGTTCCCTGCCCCAATCCTCTACTGGACGCACTTGGCACGGAGACTACCCACGAACAGGAACCACAAAAACACACACACACACAAAAAAAAAAAAAAAAAAAAAAAAAAAAAAAAAAACACGCGCACACACACACTTTCTACGCTGCCACCGCAAGGGGAGCGTCACACACGCACAAAACTACAGAAACTACCAACGAGCCGAGCGTAACGCGAGTGCGTGCAGGCAGCCGTAGGGCGTAACTATGGAGCCTGGAGGGAATCCCGTGACCGGCATCACTGGCGAATCATAGTGTCGCAGCAGCAGCAGGTAGTGTTAGTGAATGGGAGCGAGTGATGGTAGTGGTGATGAGAGAGAATGAGAGAGAGAGAGAGAGAGAGAGAGAGAGAGAGTGTGTGTGTGTGTGTGTGCGTGCGTGCGTGCGTGCGTGTTATGCCTCGATGAGTGCGCAGGCACGAAATTGCTGATCGCGTTGCGTTGCGTAGCGCTGCGAAGATGGGAGCAGGGCAAGGCACCCCACCACGAGGCAGCAGCAGCCACCGAGCGAGAGAGAGGGAGAGTGGGGGCGTGGCGCGGCGCTGGTTGCGCGGATCCGCTGGACCCTAAACCTGTCGTGCCCCTTTAAACCGGGGGATGATAGTTCTATAATGAGGAGGGGAGGGGGGCAGTCATGGGGTCCCCTCCCTCTATGCCCGTCTTTCCTTCCCATTTGCTTTCCTCTACGGGCCCATTTCATCTCATTTTTGGTTGTGGCGAGGCTAATCTGGTCTTGTCTTCTTAGCACCCCTTCCAAGCTTTCTCTTCTTATTCACCTTGCCCTCTTCCGTTGTGCTTTGTCATTTATGTATCACTCTCCATCCACCACTCATCTCTCTCTCACATTATACCACTTATATATATATATATATATATATATATTATAATCATTTCTTCCTATGTTTGCTTACATGATATTGTCTACTTTCAAGAATTAGAAAGACATTTCAATGTAGTTTTGTCATTTGGATTACTTCCCATAGTTGACTTGGCACTAAATTAGTCTTTTTTGGATGTGATGTATTTTGCTTTGAAACAAGGCTAAGTATTATCTTTTATTATAAATATTTTGTAAGTGGACTTAGTCAACACACAATAATTCAAAATTTATAGAATACTTTGTTCTAAATTTCTTTAAAAATTCAATAATAACAAAATTCTTATAGATAGTTTTTAATTATTATTTTTTTATAAAGATGTAATAAAAAAGTAAAAAAAAAGATTATTTATTATAATTTTGACAACATATTTTTTTTAATAATGATAAAAAAAAATCCTCAAATAATAATAAATACTTGTAATATACATGATTTTATAATGTATTGATTTTATTTGAACACATGTGTTTAAAATAAATTATATAATAATACATAATAATGATTATAAATCAATTGATCAATGTAAAATAAAACCATTTTACTAAAAAATTTCATATAATAAAGATAGAAAATTATTAAATTGATCCAAGTATTTATTAAATTAATGCAAGCATTTATTAAATTAATCCACCTATCATTATTGGTTGTGGATCTAATTATTTGTTCATTGGTTTTTGATCAATATAAATTTGATAATACAGATTCTTTTTTTAATGATAGTTGGAATGAATAAGACATTTATTAAATACTTAGATCAATTTAATAATTCTTTAAAGACATTTATTTATGAATATATGTACAAATTTGATTTTAATAGACATATGATTTTTAAAAAAACTAGAAAGCTTGTAGTATTTTGATGTTAATGTTTAAAATTTTTTAAAAATAATAATCAAAGAAATGCATGTGTCATGGATATACTATACAAGAAACTAAAAAAGAAGTTGAATGGAAGAGTTTTAATAAGAAATCTAACAAGAACTTGATTAAACTTAATGAATACAAGATCAATACTAAGAGAGGTGAATTAAAGCTCTAAAAGATCTATTGTCAAGACTAGGTATAAGGAAGCTTGTCAAGAAATTTTCATATTGCTTGAAGATGAAACAATCTTAAGAAGCTCTTTAAGAAGTTTCCATGTTGCTTAAAAATAAAACAATCCTAAAAATCTTCTTAGACATTTTTTTTTAAAAAAATATTCTTAGAACTTTCTAGAACTTTCTCTAAATCTTTTAAGAATCTTTTAGAATGTAATATAATATTTTAAGAATATTTTAAGAATATTCTTATTGAATGTTTGTAACATCACTTCTTCTTCTAACTCTAAGTTTCATGAGAACCATTAATTTCATATTTGCTTTCTTTATTACATACAACATCTTAACATTAGCTTTCTAGAAAAGTCATCCTAAAATAGGTTTAGATTTTTAAAGATAGCATTGATGAAAGTTATATATCTTTTGTAATATCTTAATTAGATTTTTTTTATTGATTTTCATGTACGCTCATTGATATCTTAGTCACACCAATGAATAAAATATTCCAACTTACTTCTTCTTTGTCAAGCATCAAAGAACTTTTTCACCATATATTTCACATGTTTATCTATTTTAATGCAAGGTAGTGATAGTTGTATTATTTATAAAATAGTTGATTCTAAATAAGCTTCTAAGAAAGAAACATGAAAGATCGGATGTATCTTCATAGATGTGGGTAGTTCCAATCGATAAGCCATTGAATTAATTTTCTTTGGAATACAAAATTTCCTCAATCTTTGATAGTCCAACTTATCATAAAGTCGATTAGTTTTGATATTTTGCCAAGAAGCCATAATATATTTTCAACTTGAAAAGTAAGAGATTCTTTTCTAAATTCGTCTAAAAATACTTTTTAAGAATCTTGAGTTGCTTATAAATAGAACTCTAAACAAATTTGGAGCTAATAAATATTTTTGTAAAATCTTTAGCTATTGAATTTTTATCTTTTGATATACCTAATAAATCAAGCTTTAAATGGTAACTATAATTAGAATAAAATAATATTTTTTGAATCAAAGTATGAAGAATATTATTATAAGCAAACTTTGCTAAAGATAAATACAAGATTCAATCATCTTATTGATAGTTGATGGTACATCATAAATGTTATTCCAAAATTTGATTGGCTTATTTTGTTTGACTATCTATTTGAGGATAGAAGGTAGAAAAAAATTTAGTGTCTATTATTAGTATTTTAAAAAAATATTTTCAAAACTTAGATATAAATTGAGATCTTCAATAAAAAAAATGATAGCATTAGATAGGCCATGATATTGATATATATTATCAAGAAAGAACCTTGCCATTTCTTCTTCAAAAATTATATTTTTATATGGAATAAAATAAACTATTTTTGTAAGTCAATCCACAATAATGTGGATAGAATCAAATGTAGTTGATGGCAACTAATCAATGATAAAATCTATTGCTATTATAGACCATGGTTGCTTCAGGATTGGTAGTAGCTGTAGAAGTCCCTAAGGATGCTGTCAAAAATTCTTCGATCTTGAACAAATGTTACACAAAAGGACAAAGTCCTTCACAAACTTCCACATTTGAAGCTACTAGAAATCTCAAGAAATAAATTTCAATGTTTTATTAAATCCAAAATATCTTGTAGTTGAAAAATCATAATGAGGTTGAAAAACATAAAATTACTTTAGTCATTTTGGAATATATAAATGATCTTCAAAATATAAAAAATCTTCTACAAACTTGAACTTATTGTTGTTAGGGTGTTGCTTGCTGTTACATACTAATGAGTTCTTAGTTAATGCTACATGAATTTATTCAAGAAAATTTGAATCAATAAGTGTAATTATAGAAATAACACAAAGATGAAATTGTTTTGGCTTCAAAAGAGTGGTATATTGCTAAAAAAATGTTACTTTTCTAGCCTTTGGAATAAGATACAATATTTTTGATAAAACATTTAATAGTCTTTATTGCTTTCATAGTTGATATATAATCACAATATAAAAATAAGATCATGATATATTCCAATGACCTTGGCAGCAATTCAAAATCCAAGCTGATATAAAATACTCCAAATTTTTGTGATCTGCATATATAGTCATATAATGTGTAGCACCTTCCAACAAGTGCTATTATTTTAAGAAAGAGTCTTCAATTGCAACAAGCTCTTTATCATGAATCTTATAATTGATCTTTATAGCTAAAAATTTTCTAGAATAAAATACAATTAAATGGAGCTTTCTATCTTTTTCCATTTGTAATAGTACAACTTCTAATACAAAGTTTAAAGCATCAATTTCTAAATAGAAGGCCTTTATGAAATTTAAATATAATAGATTGGAGCTATAATAAAAGTTGTCTTCAAATCTTCAAAAGTCCTTTGTACTCAAGGTCTTCATTCTAATTTATCTTTGAATGTCAATCAAGTGATAAGAGTAGCAACTTGAGAGTAATTCTTCATAAATATCTAATAGAAATTAACAAATCTAAGAAAATATTGTATATTTTCTATAGTCTTTGAAATTACCTACTCCATTATAATTTGAACTTTCTTTACGTCCATGAACAAGTCTTCTTTGAATATAATATATCCAAAAAATTGTACTATTGGCTGATAGAATATTAATTTTTCTAATTTGGCATATAATCTTGTATCTCATAATATATTATTATAAATATAATTATATAACTATATACTTTTATTATGCAAATATAATTATATAACTATTTCAAATTTTCATATATTATGGCTTTTTGACCATATTATATATATATATATATATATATATATATATATATATCCAAAATACTATTTTTAGATTTTTTAAAATAATAAAAACATATTTTTTGACTTCTAATATAATTAAAAAAATATTTTTTAAAATTACAATCCAATCTAAAAATTTATTTTTAAAAATGATCATATTTATGTAAATTTTCTATAATATTATTATTATTTTTTTAAATATAACTTTCTTTGTCTTTTATCTTTTTTTGTTTGTTCTAAGCATATTTGTCTCTTGGAACAATAAATACAAATGCAGTCCTCAAATATATGTATGTATGTATATATATATATATATTGATGTATGTTGTTGAAAAATTAAATATAAAATAATACATACATAAAATAGAGGTATTTTAATAGTATTTTTTTAAATAGATATACAATTATAACTTTCTTAAGCTATCAATTAAAATAATCAAATTCATTAGAAATCGTCTACAAAATGTTATAATTGTGTATCAAATAAGTTGTACCTCAACTTTGAAGAGGGGAAGGTATTGCTTCTACTTCCTCTAATTAGAAGAAAGTAAATATGTTGTTTATACCTCTTCTTAAAACTATCATAAAAACAGTCATAAATGATGGAGAAACTCATTGTACTACACTTTCATTAAGTAGATACAATATAAGATATAACAAAAATAATTTCTATAATAAATTATTTCCATTTAAATAAAATTATCCATTAATACGTTTCCTATAGTATAAAATTGGATGCTTTCTTATTAAGTACATGTTATATTCAACAAGTCTAAAAAAAGTTGGCATTGGTTTTAAATTAGTATTTGTTTTATTATACATAAATCTCAAATATTATATTTATTTGATAGTTAATTGTGATAAAAAAAATTTAGATTAATATTATATGTCACTTTACAA